GTCGGCCAGTGCGAGCTACATAAACATTCTATTCTGGCTACTGCGAATGCAAATTGCTCGGAGTAGAAGGGCCCAGATCGAGCCGAACTTGGGGCGATCCTATTCAACGGGCACTTCAAAAAATTATGTGGAAACCCGGACTACTCCAGTATTGTTAAGACATTGCCCTTAGAAAGCTATTAACGGTCAAACAATGTGCACATTAGGTCTATTGGGTCCCAAAGGTATGTAGACACTGTGTGATAATCATCATGATCTGCAACGAACTGAATTTAGTGATCTTTGAAGGCAGTGGCTCGGGAAAACTGCGAATGCGAGCTTTTCGCACCAACATGGCTTTCTGGAACCGCTGAGTCCGTGACTGTGCTTCAAAAGTCAAAAAAGTGCTTTATTGACGTTTTCCGGCCTTGGAGATTGCTAGCAGGCAGGAGCGGAGATTCCCGCCAACCGAGTCGCGATTGGCTGCCTGAGCCAATCAACCAGTTGCCGCCAAATTGAGTGGTGTTACAGTCTCCCGCAGCCAGTCATTGTTTGGCGGTATCTCCGCTCCTGCTCGCTCAGCAATCTCCATGGCCGGAAAAGCCAGAAAAGCATTTTTTGACTTTCAAGCACAGTACCGGACTCAGCGGATCCAGAAGGCCAGATTTGTGCAAAGCCCGCAGTCGCAATTTTCCCGAGCCACTACCCAAATAAACGGCTATAACATTTTGATGAATTGTTCAGTAATTAAGAAAAGTAAATCTGAACTATGCACTTCAAGGCAATTTTACGGTATACCTTATGTTGCGAAAAGCTAGTTCGAGTTGAATGCCTTTTATTGTTACACCTATTTATATGGCGTATCTTCGGCTGATGGAAACTTCCGGCTTAGCTTCATTATAGTTCTTGATTTTCGAAATTCAAGAGCATCAAATTATCCGACAAATTCATGCTATGCATTCTCATCTCTTGATGATTTCTGATTTTGAGATTGGGCATGGGCTTGTCGGAAATAGTTATACGCTGCTGCATGACGAAGGCGCAATGTCTTTGGGCGCGAACGCGGCTTAATTAGCCGCAGAGCGCATGCGGCGCAGGATCTACAGCGTTGAAGACGCGTTCGCGCCCGCTCAGTTAATACGGCTTCTGCGCCTTCGTCATGCAGTGGCCTTTATATACCCTAACTTCACATACTATGCCAAAAAGTCAGCTCGAGTTTTGAAATTTTTAGACCAATCATTTTATAAGATCGGTATCTAGGATAGTATGTAGGTTGGTGGATAAGCATGCCTGCGTGTTGTGATGCTGTCTATAAATTCTTGATGGTTTTTGTGGTTCGCGATAGTGTTTGGTGCCTGTTGTTTTCCAGTATGGAAATTTGTCATTGTGGGATGGTTAGTAATGGCTTCACTCCGAGATGATTAATTGATTTTGCAAAACTTGAGCTGGGCTGGGAACTGGCATAGGGGGTTAACTATCATGTTGATTACGAATGCAATAACCATTTTCGAAAATAAACATCACACTTTCATCGAATTTATCGATTATTTGCAAATTTTCAACTACGGGACTGAGGGTGAGCAGGGGGTAAGCGAGCATGATGATCACGAATATGATAACCATTTCTGAAAATATACTTTACTTCTACCGGTTTTGTCGATTCTTCACAAAGTTTCAGTCACGACGCTGAGAGTTGGTACAGGCGGGTAAGCGAGCAGGCTAGTCGAACACATTCTGTACAATTTTATTTTCCAGAGTTACCGGTTGACCTTCATTGACTTTATTTTTTTGCGAAGTCAAGTTATGGGGCCAAGAGTTGGCACATGGGAGTAAGCCAGCATGCCAATTACGATTATAATAAATGTTCTTAAAAGTATCCATTACTTCTATCGATTTTATTTATCTTTGTAAAATTCGAGCTACATGGCTGTCACGCTCAAAGGTGTACCATTTGATTCTTGGCTGGCTTCGGGAAGGCGGGGTCCCGCTCAGACAATGGATCGGACCCCTCCGCTGGGGAAATGGCAGGGTCGCGGCGTTTCCCCAGCGGTGGGTCACCCATTCGTCCGGCGGAGCCCTCCCATTTCTCCGGCGGAGACCTCCCATTTCTGCTCCGGATACCTCCCATTTTCTGCTCCGGATACCTTCCATTTTCTGCTCCGGATACCTCCCATTTTCTGCTCCGGTTACCTCCCATTTCTGCTCCGGAGACCTCCCATTTCTGCTCCGGATACCTCCCATTTTCTGCTCCGGAGACCTCCCATTTCTGCTCCGGATACCTCCCATTTCTGCTCCGGATACCTCCCATTTTCTGCTCCGGATACCTCCCATTTTCTGCTCCGGATACCTCCCATTTCTGCTCCGGATACCTCCCATTTCTGCTCCGGATACCTCCCATTTTCTGCTCCGGATACCTCCCATTTTCTGCTCCGGATACCTCCCATTTTCTGCTCCGGATACCTCCCATTTTCTGCTCCGGATACCTCCCATTTTCTGCTCCGGATACCTCCCATTTTCTGCTCCGGATACCCCCCATTTTCTGCTCCGGATACCTCCCATTTCTCCGGCGGAGACCTCCCATTTTCTGCTCCGGATACCTCCCATTTTCTGCTCCGGATACCTCCCATTTTCTGCTCCGGATACCTCCCATTTTCTGCTCCGGATACCTCCCATTTCTCCGGCGGAGACCTCCCATTTTCTGCTCCGGATACCTCCCATTTTCTGCTCCGGATACCTCCCATTTTCTGCTCCGGATACCTCCCATTTTCTGCTCCGGATACCCCCCATTTTCTGCTCCGGATACCTCCCATTTTCTGCTCCGGATACCTCCCATTTTCTGCTCCGGATACCCCCCATTTTCTGCTCCGGATACCTCCCATTTTCTGCTCCGGATACCTCCCATTTTCTGCTCCGGATACCTCCCATTTTCTGCTCCGGATACCTCCCATTTTCTGCTCCGGATACCTCCCATTTTCTGCTCCGGATACCTCCCATTTTCTGCTCCGGATACCTCCCATTTTCTGCTCCGGATACCTCCCATTTTCTGTTCCGGATACCTCCCATTTTCTGCTCCGGATACCTCCCATTTTCTGCTCCGGATACCTCCCATTTTCTGCTCCGGATACCTCCCATTTTCTGCTCCGGATACCTCCCATTTTCTGCTCCGGATACCTCCCATTTTCTGCTCCGGATACCTCCCATTTTCTGCTCCGGATACCTCCCATTTTCTGCTCCGGATACCTCCCATTTTCTGCTCCGGATACCTCCCATTTTCTGCTCCGGATACCTCCCACTTTCTGCTCCGGATACCTCCCATTTTCTGCTCCGGATACCTCCCATTTTCTGCTCCGGATACCTCCCATTTTCTGCTCCGGATACCTCCCATTTTCTGCTCCGGATACCTCCCATTTTCTGCTCCGGATACCTCCCATTTTCTGCTCCGGATACCTCCCATTTTCTGCTCCGGATACCTCCCATTTTCTGCTCCGGATACCTCCCACTTTCTGCTCCGGATACCTCCCACTTTCTGCTCCGGATACCTCCCATTTTCTGCTCCGGATACCTCCCATTTTCTGCTCCGGATACATCCCATTTTCTGCTCCGGATACCTCCCATTTTCTGCTCCGGATACCTCCCATTTTCTGCTCCGGATACCTCCCATTTTCTGCTCCGGATACCTCCCATTTTCTGCTCCGGATACCTCCCATTTTCTGCTCCGGATACCTCCCATTTTCTGCTCCGGATACCTCCCATTTTCTGCTCCGGATACCTCCCATTTTCTGCTCCGGATACCTCCCATTTTCTGCTCCGGATACCTCCCATTTTCTGCTCCGGATACCTCCCATTTTCTGCTCCGGATACCTCCCATTTTCTGCTCCGGATACCTCCCATTTTCTGCTCCGGATACCTCCCATTTTCTGCTCCGGATAACTCCCATTTTCTGCTCCGGATACCTCCCATTTTCTGCTCCGGATACCTCCCATTTTCTGCTCCGGATACCTCCCATTTTCTGCTCCGGATACCTCCCATTTTCTGCTCCGGATACCTCCCACTTTCTGCTCCGGATACCTCCCATTTTCTGCTCCGGATACCTCCCATTTTCTGCTCCGGATACCTCCCATTTTCTGCTCCGGATACCTCCCATTTTCTGCTCCGGATACCTCCCATTTTCTGCTCCGGATACCTCCCATTTTCTGCTCCGGATACCTCCCATTTTCTGCTCCGGAGACCTCCCATTTTCTGCTCCGGATACCTCCCATTTTCTGCTCCGGATACCTCCCATTTTCTGCTCCGGATACCTCCCATTTTCTGCTCCGGATACCTCCCACTTTCTGCTCCGGATACCTCCCATTTTCTGCTCCGGATACCTCCCATTTTCTGCTCCGGATACCTCCCATTTTCTGCTCCGGATACCTCCCATTTTCTGCTCCGGATACCTCCCATTTTCTGCTCCGGATACCTCCCATTTTCTGCTCCGGATACCTCCCATTTTCTGCTCCGGATACCTCCCATTTTCTGCTCCGGATACCTCCCATTTTCTGCTCCGGATACCTCCCATTTTCTGCTCCGGATACCTCCCATTTTCTGCTCCGAATACCTCCCATTTTCTGCTCCGAATACCTCCCACTTTCTGCTCCGGATACCTCCCATTTTCTGCTCCGGATACCTCCCCTTTTTGTGCTCCGTAGCCCTCCCCTTTTTGTGCTCCGTAGCCCTCCCATTTTGCGCTCCGTAGCCCTCCCCTTTTTGTGCTCCGTAGCCCTCCCATTTTGCGCTCCGTAGCCCTCCCCTTTTTGTGCTCCGTAGCCCTCCCATTTTGCGCTCCGGATGTCCTACAAACGCCTATTTCGCTCCAGGAACCCTGCGTTTCGCGGCTGGCATACTGTAGCTAGTCTGCGCTCCGGAAACCCTGCATTTCCACGCCTGATTTACAGTAACTTGCCCTTAACCCCACCCAAACTACGTCTAAACTACTTTTTATCGAAAAAAGCGAACATTACTAGACACAAAACTATTTACTGCATCAGTAAAGTAGCAGATACTTGTTATGGTAATGAATGAGAGTGAGATGGAAAAAAACACGATGATAACAGAAGAAGCACTCGTTTTGCAGTGAGAACAATATTGAAAGAGTTCTAAATGAGATGAAACAAAAAAATTTCACATGTAAGAAATCGTCGGTGTCATAACAACAGATACAACATAATTAGGAGAGACACAGAAGATATGAGGCAGAAATGAACATTCAAAAAACCAGAAGAGAGTGAAGATATTAAGTGAAGTCGTCGGGGCCCGGAAACTGAAGGAAATCATTTTCCTTGGAGTGCACAGCCATTCTCTGTCGTGGAACAGACAGTATTGAGAAACAAAGATTGACGAAAGCCTAGACACATATTGGCATATAGCTTCAAGTGTACATATACATCGATAACTCACCTTTTGTAGATGGATTTTCAACTCCAGGCACCGCACAAGGTCCAAACTATCGCAACCTAGCTCACTTCACAGAGACAAATCCGCATCTCATTACGAACAAGCCACCAAGCGGAAACCAGCAGATACGAGTAACACAGCTACCTGTAATTTAGGCCCATATGCATGTACATCCCCGCGGGGAGGGGAGGGGATCTGAGAGGGGAAGCGATATCTCGCTAGTCTACATATCTTTCTCCTTCTTTCTTTATCTTGTTTATAAAGTTTCTCATACACTGATTTCTGCGCATAACGGATGTCAGGTCACTGCCATATCAGATTGGATATTCACTATTTCGTCTGATCCCCTGGAGATCCCCTGGGGATCACCTCACATTTTCAAAGTCATTTATCTTCATGAAAACTCAATGAAAACGCCGGCAAAATGTACTGAAGATATACTACGATACTGCTGAGCATGTTCTCGACAGAAGAAATGAAATCTAAAGATTTTGATTTTTTCGATAATCCCTGGCTCGCGAGCAGCGGTTCATCGAAATTTTTGATATCTTGAGATTCTACTCATTTCTACCACAAGCATATTTAGCACTGCTGTAGTATTTCCCCAGAACAATTTTAGAGCATTTTCATTGAGTTTTCAGGAAGATAAAGGTCTTTGAAAATGTGAGGTGATCCCCTGGGAATACCCAGGGGATCAAACGAAATATTGAATATCTAATCTTGTATGACAGTAACCTGGCAACCGTTATGCGCAAGCATCAGTGTATGAGAACCTTCAAAAGCAAGACAGGGAAAAACGAAGAAAGATATATGTAGAAACTAGCGAGATATGACGCTTCCCCTCTCACAAGGGAAGTTCGCCGAATCGAAATGGCCGATTGATAGTGGTGTACACCCGGACGCTGGGCTCGGGAGGTTAGTATGTGAAATGTGCGCCTATTAGCTGCGACACGTTATTGTAAAGCAAGTTATGGCCCTCTGAAGTTTTTGGCGTGTGCATGTCTAGGGAACGCACAAATGCTCCGATAGTGGTCGTGTGGTGTAGTGGTTAGCGTCTCGGACTCACAGGTGACCGGTGAGGGTTCGAATCCTATTGCTGTCCACATATTTTGCGTTCTTCTCAAAATTCATTTTTTACCTGTTTCATGCATTAGTGACGTAAAAAATGACACATACGGGTGGTTAAACTCTACTAATTATACATCCTGCCGTGTCATTCTCACAAGGTAGCCCATTAGCAAGAATCAATAGTAAGATGTGATACAACTTGGAGATTGTCACGTATATACTACGTGCAATTGAAGAAAGTATGTGGGAGTGAGGATTTGGCAAATCTTCAAAGTCAGTTGAAAAGCCGTCGCTAAAAAGTCGTTGCTATGTTCTACGAAAATCTTACATATGAAGCATTGGTCGAATTTTCGTGAGGAAAATCATTCTAACTCGTGTGTGCCATTTTTTACCTCAATAACACATAAAACAGGTAAAAAATGGTTTTTGAGAAGAACGCAAAACATGTGGACAGCTACAGGATTCGAACCCTCACCGGTCACCTGTGAGTCCGAGGCGCTAACCACTACACCACACGACCACTATCGGAGCATTTGTGCGCTCTCTAGACATGCACACGCCAAAAACTTCAGAGGGCCATAACTTGCTTCACAATAACGCGTCGCAGCTAATGGGAGCACATTTGACACTAACCTTCCGAGCCCCGCGTCCGGGTATATACCACGTATCAATCGGCCATTTCGATTCAGCGAACTTCCCTTGTCAGATCCCCTCCCCTCCCCGCAGGGATGTACGCCCATACGGGCCTTAAACGCAAAATATTGCGCTGGCACTAAAACCAAACCATAATAATGCTGCGATCACTTCGTATAATAGCATGAATTCGTGCACTTTCACTAAACATAGCAGATGGTAGACGAGGAGATGCCCGACGAGATGCGGATCCGCCCCTTGTGCACGAGACATGTTCTCATGTATACCGAATCTTCTCAAAATTTTTCTTCGCGTATTTTCGCCTAAGGACAATCCACAAACCAGACTGTAAACACCATTACGTGTAGCACATCAACAGTCTCAAGACAATATTTTCGCATAAGTCACACGATTACATATGCGACTTTGAGCGACATCCATAAAATAACGAGGCAAATGTTCCCCCTGGTCGAGGTTTAATATACCATGAGCCATCACCATGAAACTTCTGCCTGTGCAGGGTTGTTGCCGCATCGCCTTGGTGAGTTCTATCTACAGAAATCTTTTACTTGCAGGTGATTATGATGTTTCAGGATTTCCAGTTTATGTTATCAGACGTAAATTCTGCCTTTGAGTGCGTTTACGTTTATTCGTCTCTTCTTGTTTTGTTTTTCTCTGTTTATACAAAGGGTAGATTCCACAGGGTGACTGAGTCTCATAGGGTTGTTTCAGACTGCCGCACTGACTGCAGCAGACTGCAGCAGACTGCAGCAGACTGCAGCAGACTGCAGGTGACTGCAGCTGACCGCACTGACCGCACAGACCGCACCGGTCGCAGCCTGTTTTCTTAAAAGAAAAAACAACCGCGATTATCAAAACAGCGTGATTTATGCATAAGAAGATCATAAGTTCCATCAGAATTCTTCTCAATCAAATTTTGGCGATAGTTTTCTTTGGTATGTTCGTATTTGTTCTAATTCCTCCTATCATTGCATATACCTGTTTTGTAACATTCTAAACCGTGTTGTCTTTTGCTTTTACGTATATACTGTTGTTGTTTGTTTGAATCACAGCTATTTATCCTCTCCGCCTGCAGGCTTCAGCCGCTGCGGTCGTTGCGGTCAGTGCGGTCAGCTGCAGTCTGCTGCAGGCTGCTGCAGTCTGCTGCAGTCAGTGCAGTCAGCTGCAGTCTGCTGCAGTCTGCTGCGGTCAGTGCAGACTGCTGCAGTCAGTGCGGCAGTATGAAACAACCCATAGCAGAGAAAAGAATTTGACGCTTTTCGGAGCATGTCTAAGAAATACTGCGAATTCAATGGAGAACTGCGAAATTGCTAGAAACTTTGATTTTTCAAGTTTTAGAAAATCTCACTTCTTTCGTGAGTCGAAAAGCATGAAATTGGATCTTGTAGTCAGAAGCGACGCCTCAGAAGAAAGGTCACTTAGATAACTACGCACCGCAGATAATGTTCGTATATATTGATATAAAATTTTACCTGATGCCGTTCATTTTGAAATTTCACTTTTCGTAGAAAGGTTAACATTCGTGTGGTTGGGTGTCGCTGGTGCAGGCAAACTTTTACCTTGAATTAGTCTTGTTTTCCCTTCTAAAAACGAAAGTGCTCGAGTGACCTGGGATTGCTGGCGGAGATGAGTGTTTATCTAAAAATCCAAAGTTTGGGTAACCGGGTCTCGCTGGTGGAGATGAGCCTTTACTCAAAAAAATTAAACGCTGTTGGTGACCGGGTCTCGCTAGTGGAGGAAAGCGTTTACTTGGTGAAATCAAACGCTTACATGTGGGTCTCGTTGGTGGAGATGCGCCTTTACTCAAAGAAATCAAACGCTTTTGGTAACCGGATCTCGCTGGTGGAGATCAGCTTCTACCCTATCTTCAGGTGTATGAGCCGCACCGTTTTCGCTCTAAAGGCGAACACGCCAAAAGACTGACTGTCACCATGGAGCGCGTTAACACATTCACGACAATACGACCCACCGGTGGGTCGTACGTGTTCTGCTATTTCGGACAATACGACCCACCGGTGGGTCGTATGCTTTCTGAAGTTTTTGATTTTGTTAGTTTACGGTGAAACTTTTTAGACAAGCCGAGTAAACTCCTGCATACACCTCTTAAAGTACCTCCCAAAAGATTAACACTTCAGACTACAGGGCCCATCAGTGACCTAAAAATATTCCGCAAACTCAATTTTGCGAAATATGCTCCGGTCCGAAATGGCAGTCAGCGAAAAATCGGCCCTGTCGTGAATGTGTTAAGTGAGAGCAACAAGGTATACGGAGGAGATGACACTTTACTTGGGGAAATCAAAAGCTTTGACTGGGTCTCGCTGGTGGAGATGAACTTCTACCCTATTTTCAGGAGTATAAGCCGCACCCTTTTCGCTCTAAGGCCAACACGCCAAAAGACTGATTGTCATCATGGAGCGCGTTAAGTGAGAGCAATAGGGTATATGGTGGAGATGAGTCTTTACTTGGGGAAATCAAAAGCTTTGACCGGGGGGCGGGCGTTAGATACCCAGCCGAGGGGCGGGCATTGGGTACCCAGCTATTAGTGGTATACACTAAGCCACGCCCCTTAGTTGCTTTGACAGCGGGTACCTAACGATACACCGAATCCTAGCTGCTAGAACAGCTCAATTCACTAAAGCGCTGGCGCTTGCGACCCACAGAGAAAAGATAGTTTGAAGAGATCAAAAGAAATTGCGCGAATGAAAGCGCAAGTTCGTACCAGGGTCAAGCGTGTTGATGCGATCCTGGACCCTCATTTACGACCCCCCCCCCTTGAAGGTACCCATCCGTACGACTCCCCCCCCCTCCTCCTCCCCTCTCTCCCCCTCCCCCACCTATCCCCCTTACCTCCCCTGCCCACATTTTTCGCGGTAACGTGCATAAACGAATGTCAATCTCAAAAAACACCTGCTTGAGAACTTCAGTGAGGTTTCGGAAGCAGAATTTCTAGGCCAATGGGTGCGCCCAGCATCTCTAGCACATATACACCTTCAATAATGTTTGAGATTCTGCAAGTTTACTTTTGAATTTTCAGGCATACTTCAACCAGCAAACCAGCGATTCCCGTATGCGACACAAATTTTTAAAAGGAGAACAAAATGACATTCTTGAACTGCAGAAGATGTTTTCGACTAAAAAGCTCAGTTCTTACCTCTTCCACAGTTTTTCCTGCGAAAAAACTGCTTAAGCGCCGTCCAGAACGACGTCAAAAACATGCATGAGCACCGTAATTTGAAAATTCGTAACTAAGACCAAGAAAAGACTGAGAGGCTGCAAAGAACAGGTTCTGTAGCATAGTGCCCAGACTATTCATAGAAAAAGTTTCAGCCCTTGAGGAGCAATGAGCTCGAAAAAATTTAGATCAGGCTCTCGCAAATTTAGATGCGATCCTAAAAAGCAAAAACGGGGATTTTTGAGCTTAA